TGTCAGGAGGAAGAATAGCTTCCATTTTTTATTCTTTCATTTTTACAAGTGTTTTAAAGTGATTCATTATTTTGTTTTACCGGAATTCTCTTTACTTTCAAATAGTATGCAAGAAACTTCAACATGTAATTTCTCGTATCTTATAACGTCACGATTCAATATGGCTGCAGCGATTATTCAGGAGCTTTAATACACGCATCGATTTTGCTGAAGTATCTAAAAATTTAGCCAGATACGGATGTGAAAATAATCTTGTTCATCAATAGTTACGTAAGACGCTTAAACTGATTATCAGGATGTTAAAACTTATTGCAGCATTGTCATCAACGTTTAAGCGTTCTACATAACTATTTAGACAGTAAATTACTTAAACAAAACTTTCAACACTACTTTCATCAAATCTAGCTAAATTTATAGATAATTTAGCAACATCATTTTTTCCGTGAAGTATAAAGGATCTATACGGACTTCTTTTTTATGAAATTTTTTTAATTTTTATTTTTTTTATCTAACACGCGTAACTATATTTATTTCAAGGAAGAACATAATTTTTACCTATTTTAATCGTTCCACAAGTGTAGAAATGTCCTTCTGTTTCCTTGATTTTGAATAGTAGGAAAGGTACACTTCGGTAAAAATCACGACTTTGCATTGAATTTGAAAGATGTCGTGATTCGAACTGTAAAATTTTCACGAATTTCTCAGAACGGCTGAAAATCGCGTTTCAAATGAAAGTAACCACGCAAATACAGCTTTCTCGAAGGAAAGCAAGTCGCGGGGAGATCCATCGGGGGTGGAAAAGACCGTTCGTTAGGATTTAAGGCTGCCATAAATCCGCTCTGGCTATTCCTTAAACCCTTCGCACGCGCGCGCGAGTAGCGGTCAACCCGGCTTTTACCAGATTGTATTCCTCGATATCTCCCCTTTGGACCCCACATCCTCGAATTCATTCCCGGGTCCTTTCTTTGGCGAACTTCCGCTTGATCATGACAATATCCGTCGACGTTGGCAGAATTTTTACGAATTCGATTGTAAATGCGGCTGAGATAAATCGGCGATCTTCCTGTGAATATGAAAGTATGCACACTAAGAGTATATATTGTGACATTATGGATATTGTATTATAAATAGATATTGCACACTCAGGGAAAGTCATAATGTGACAACTATATAGGTGATAAAAGTTTTATAGATATAATTATTTGAATAGTTGAATAAACTATTTTACAATTATTGTAGCTATGAAATTATTTATTTATGCACATTAATTCTACATAATATAAGACTTGTAGTTGTTACACTGAGAAAAATTGTTTATTTAACTAAATTAATTTAGTTGTTTTAATTTTTTTATTGTATATATGTATTTAACAAATATAATATATTTGACTTAAATATATACATTTTTCATCAAAAAAAGAAAAAACTAAATTAATTTAATCAAATGAATAATTTTTTTCTCAGTGTGCATCTATAGATACAATTGCTGTCACTGTTTTTCTTTGATTGTGAGAGTACCATAGACATTACATTACGCTATTAGTTTTAACAAGATTTTTTTCATATACATTTCCATGCTTAATTGAATGCGGCAATCGTAAGTCTTCTAATTCAAAAGCAAAAGAAGTAATATTACAGATGTTGTCAATTACTAAAAAATATAGGTAAATTATTAGAAATTTTCTAAGGTTGTTATTTTTATCGCTACTTTTTATTTAAGCATTTTTAATCGTATTTTAAACACTTTTCATGTCAGAATATTAGTGTTCATTTAACTATTAGGTGTTGGAATTAATTCGTAGCGTTTTACAAGTGATGAGAAGTACTTTCATTAATGTATTTTTTAATGCTCATGTGAAATAAATAACATTCTTTCATTAAAAAACGCTACGAATTAATTCCAACACCTAATATAATAACGGATGATAGAAATATAATAAAGGATAATAGTAAATTTTTATTTACTATCATCCTGTTTTTCTTGACCAAAAATTTACACAATTTTCTCTTAATAAGACGACCTAAATCTACATAAATCTAATCACTCGTCTTTTTTCTAAAGCCGTTCGCCACCGTTGCAAATCTGAGAGCATTATTATCTCGCACCACATCCGAAACTTCGTCCTTCTCGTGCTTCCCGGCTGGGACAAACGACAATTTACGGCCGGTCCCGAGATAGCCGCGGTTACCGGCGGGTTAAATCGTGTGAAATACTGCTTTCGGCACATTGGTCCGGCACAATTATTGATGGCACTTGGAGAGTGGGCAGAAAAGCGACGTGACGCGGCGGGCTCTCGCCCGGGACTCTCGCCCGCGATCCGAAAGGGCGTAATCAATGTGGCGTGCGGCGCTTCGATTTAAATTCATGAATAATTCCTACCTCGCTGCCCCGATGCGGACGCGACGATCCGAAGATCAACGAGCTTTTTCGGTCGTCGTCTCGCGCATTTTTTCCCAGTCCGCACTCGCGACCATCGAGAATTCCGGGTTCGCCAGTGAGGATCAGACGTTGCCTCCGGTAAATTTCGCCAAGTTCAGATTTATTACGGAGTACCCAGAATTGGTGTTATTCTAGAATTGCATGGGACTACCATTCTTATTCGAATAATTTATTCGGATAACGATTCTCCGTTATTTACAGTAGCTATTCGATTAATTGTTTATGGTTATTCGAATTAGTTGCTTAAATAAATAATGTAGAAATTGCTCCAGTAATTGCCCGAAATGTTTTACAAATGATAAAACAAATGACACTATCTAAAGTAACTAGATCCTATATCGTTTACATAAATTTTTCAATTTTTTTTCTAATCTTTCACTGAGTTCAACATTGGAAATTGATAAATTTAAAAGAGGAAACATTTCTGAACATTAAAAAATATATAAGACATTTTCAAATATTTACATGCATATATAGATGCAATGAAAATTTTAAGAAAAAGTAGCATTTAAATCATACATGTAAAACATTATTTGTAAATATTTTGGGCAATTACTCGAGAAATTGTCGTATTACTTATTTAAGCAATTATCAAATGAGCCATTGCAAATAACAGATAAATCGGTATCTAAATAAATTATTCAAAATGGTTATCTCGTGTTCTTTCTAGGATATGTACCTAATATAAAACCTAAATATGTTTCCCTCCTTTTCATAAAAAAATGGAAAATGAGATGATCCAACATTACTTTTATAAGATTATAAGTTTATTAACGTATTGTAACGTTTATTAACATGTAAGAAGACACAGAGAACTATTTCCAAACAATTGATCTATTTACTTATTTATTTATCTACTTATCTACTTATTTCCATGATGTTTAGCACGATGTTTAGGTAAATTAAAACTTATGATCTGGAACAATAAAAGTTATACTAAAAAACTGTTAAATTGATGTATGCTACGTTATTAATACTCGTATGTATAGATATATGTATGTATATTGGTTATATTGGTTTTACATTGCAAAAGAGTCTCCTTTCTTTAATTATAAACAAAACGTTAAGAAAATATAATGCCGCGTTGTAAAATATAAATACAGATCTATAATAATCTATGGAAATTATTAATAACCATCTCTCGATAGTTATATAGAAAACAATTATATTTATCTATGAAATATTACATCACGACTTCTGCATTTTACTTTACTAACAATAACAGAATAAACTAATCAATAAACTGATCCAATCCAATCAAACAAATAGCCTATACTTTATACTAGTGCTGTCTGTCGAATTCACGTATAATTATCTGCACAAACAGCGAGTAGAGCATTGGGTACTAAGCCATATAGGGTTCGATTATTTTAGATAATGCACACATGTTGTTTTTATTTATTCATCATTTTAAATATGCCTTCGGACAATAACTATGTGCTTTATCATCTACGTAAAGTTATATTTAATCTTGCTTAATTCTAAAACGCTATTGTACGTAAATTTGACGTGCAAATGAATGGAATTATCGAGCGCTGAAGCCTTCAGTGACCGTTAGGAGATCCAATCCGCTATGGTAAAAACTTATATATAGGATACAATGGTAACAAGCTTTTGAAAATTCAATCCATTATATAACAGTTTGGTTCCCTAGTCAGTATTATAATAGAGAAATGTGATAAGTGATTTCAATTTCTAATTGTTTGTGTTATTATTTGTTAAATATTATATGATGACTACATATACAGATATTCCATATCATTTCAAGATTAAATTTAATAGTGAACCTTCATTTCTTTCAATAATTAAGTTATATTATGTTATAAAATTTAGAATATAAATATTTTGTTATTAAAAATGTATGAAAACCCTGTATTACATTAATTAAGAGTGGCCTATTTCTTCGAACAAAAAATTCACGTATCAGTAACAGTACATCCAGTAGTGTTCCAGGTTAAAAGATTATTCTTATTTTGTTATTTGTAAAAGGTTTGTTTTACTACAATAAAATTTGACTCATTAAAATTACGCTGTCGATTTCAATCACGGCGAAAAATTCAGCTGATTGTTAACCGAAAATTTCGATCACTTCTGCCAATCGGGTGAATGAAAAGCACGGACGATTTGACAGTGATTTATTAATCGTGTCGCTCATTGCACGTTACCACGAATAAATTATGACGATCGCGCGCTGATTAATTGCAAGTCAATTAACGTTTCCCTCTCCCCCCCCCCCCCCCTCCCGCCGGGGAAACGAGCAACGAATAACATAGCAACTGGCGTTGTCGCGTCGCTGCGAACACTTTATTAAATCCGCTATTAATTAATCACACTCGCCGGCGATACCTTTCCACGATGCGCGATTGCTCGTATCGACGTCATTATTGCCGTTTCATTATTCACGACTATCGCAACGACGCTGATTTTTCGAGGGCGGCGCGCGACGCTGAATTTTGCATCGTTCCACCGTCGCGTCTAATTATCACCCCTTCCTCTTCCTTTTTTTTTCTGTCTACCAGAGAACTTTCATTAATAAATGTCATTGTTCGAATTGTTATAGAGGGAGGCCACGCAACGAGATGTGGAACGAGAACGCCGGCAACGAATGGAGGCCGAAGCTCGAGTGCGCGAGGCTACGGCTGAGGCTGAAAGAGCACGCTCGAGAGTCCATCATCTTCAGAAAGAGCTGGCCAGGTGAGAGATTTCATAATTTCAGAGTTACTGTTCTCTTAAAAGAGAATATGACGCAGATGAACACATCGTTAAACAAAAAGTTAAGAATCTCACTTCTCTTAAATTTTCCTCGAAATAAATTTTCGATGTATTTGCGATTCTTTCCTCTTCTTATACATTTACATCTTCTTAAAATGCTTTGAAATTTTTTCCATTTAAAAGTAGGAAATCACCAGTTTTTTATTAATAATTTTTTTATAAATTTAAATAATTTTATAAATTATTTGATAATTTTATAATTTTATATTTTTGTGATTTTATATTTTATAATTTTATAAATTTACGGTTTGTATATGGAAAGAATAATTTTACCAAAGTATCTAAAAATTTAGCTAGATACAAATAATTTTGTTGCACTATGAGTAACGCAGTAAAAAGTTTTGACATCTTAATAACAAGTTTGAATGTCTTATATAATTATTTTGACGATCAAATTATATTTAAATTTGTATTTTGCTAAATTTTTAAATATTTCGGCGAAATTTTTTGTATTATATAATATGTCCTCAGATCAGCTTTAAGTAAAAGATACGATAATATAATAGGAGAATTTTTTTATCTAGAAGACAATAATAAATTTAAAACGGAAATTTTTATGGGAATTGTCTTATGCCCATTTCCACCAACGTAGATTATCTTTAATCTCGGTTCAACTTATTCTTCATCTTTTTCTAATCTTTAGAACTAAAATAAGACGAAGAGTAAATGGAACCGAGATTAAAGTTAATCTTCTTTGATGAAAATGGGCATTAAACGCATGAATAGTTTTATTGACACATCACTACATACCTACTACTACATCAATATCTCACGCATAAATTTTCGTATAATAATATTTAATTAAACGTCTAACAAAGAGAGACTCATATATATATTTCACGGATTTTGATCAGCTGATGGTTATTCTGAGGCACTAAAAAAGATCCTTATAAAGCAGTAAATTGCATCTCTGCGTATTTTTCGAAAAAATCGTGATTTCAAATTATGATGACGGATTGCTTTCAAACCTGGAAAAATCAATAGCATTTAAAAAAATAAGTAATTTTTACATATATATATATATATACATATATTTATACATATATATATTAGGTTCGAAAATTGATAATTTTTGAGAAAATTGACATTTTTTTATTTCAACCGAAGCTTTAAAACACCTCGCGAACTGTTGCTCGTAAATTATTACTCGTAAAGTAGTAGGAGTCGGCGCAAATGCGTTATGGATTCTATACTCGGATTTATATGCTTATACATACGTGTTCGCCGGAGATGTGTTTTTTAATTTTAAATAAATATTAAATTATTTATTTTCAAATATTTCGTTTAAATAAAGAGGAAAAAGGTTTGAAAGCGATCTGTTGTGACCTAAAATCACGATTTTCTCAAAAAATACGTAGAGATGCAATTTACTGTTTTACAAGGATCATTTTTCAGTGCCCAAAATAACCACGCGAAAGCTGATCAAAATCTGTGAAATACATATGTGAGTCTCTTCTTATAAATCCAATTTTAAGTACTCCACTTTGTTTCTTCGTATAAATTACTAGTCTATGAACTACACTATTTCGTAAGTACAGATTGCATAGCTTTTATATGAAGCAAATGTTGTCACGACATGACTAAAACTCTATATTAATAAAAGTAGTGCAAAAGTTCGCCATATTGGACCTACTAACCATACCATGGAGTAACTCCGACAAATACGCCGTGCTGGGATTTACACATTTATAAACACATTTTATAAGTGATTGTCATTATACATCTTATTTATATTATTATTTGTTATACTTATTTATATGCATTATTTGTAAATTTTTTATGAGTCGTATATCCTCCCTTCCCCCATCTCTGGATATACGGCAAAAATGCAAGGGTTTTAAAAAATTTATTTTTTAATATGAAAAATAAATATTTCGCATTTCTAATTTTTTCATAGTAGTCTGTATTTTTTTCATAGTAGTAGACAGTACAAAATTTTTATTGATATAATTCATATAAACATAGTAAATAATACTTAATAAATTAAGTTTTTGATAGATGCGGCGTATGTACCGGAATTACCCTATACCAATAATACTAAGCGCTTATTAACATTACAAGCTTACAGACAACTAAATTCAAAATAGCGATCGAAATAGCCAATAGGAAAGTTGTCGTCATTTCGGCTCAGATTAAAGAGATGCGCTACTTTTATTAATATAGAGTAGATATGACAGTTCTGGAGCGCCATATTGAATTAAGGAATGGTAAAGAAGATCTCAATTTCGAAATTTTTTGTTGTTCTCAGCAGAGATTCCACAAACATATATTAATACGTATATTTTAATCCTGAAGAAGGATTTTTGAATTGTAGGCGCATTAATGGGCGTAATAAGGATAATTCTGATCAGGCAATCTTAATTCTCGACATTACGGTAAAGATTGGAATATGAAAGTAAAAGAAGAAAAAAGTAATTGTTATACAAAAAATATATAGTTTAATCGGTAATATAGATGACTTTAGACCCTTTAACACAAGCAGAAAACGAAATCGCGACTGCAATCTTATAAAATTTTCTCCAATAATTCGAGGCCGTCATATAACACGCGAAATCGATTTCTTCCCGTTCTTTCGGCAGCTCTCCGCTTTCGCTTCGCGAAAATTGCTTATTTCATTCACGGTCGTGCAGACGGCACTTTATTTCCTGTATGCGGATCGCGCGCGATACATAAATATAAGAGTATCGGTGTATAACGTATAAATAATGAGACCGCGCGTTTCCCACGCAATAACCGGCGGATCGAATGGTAAATCACCGATTTGGCTCTCGTCCATGACATATCGCGAGCTATCTAAATAGTAACCTCTCTGCCTTTGTCGTCCTCTCTGTCGTCTCGATTTATTATTGTGAATATGAAACATCGTTGCGATATTGCGCATCCGGAATAAAAAAGAGGCTCTTGATAATGTCAATTAACGAGATTCTTATAAACAAAAATATTTCTTACTATTAAAAATTCTTTAAAATATGCTCCCGCCATATGTTTTGGAAACAATTTCGCAAATGTTGAGAGAGAGAGAGAGAGAGAGAGAGAGAGAGAGAGAAACATTTCTATCGCAGGGATGCATCGGATATCCGGGAAATATTCGGTATTACCCGGTATTTTTTTACTATCCGATCGAATAGCCGGATATCATTAATATCTGGTTATATGTATCCGGCTGAAATTTTATATTGAAAATTTGCATCATTAATGCAAAATTTTATTCTGCCTAACCTCTTTTTTGGAAATTATTTATCAGATATCCGATCGAATATGTGAGGGAAATATTCAATATCCGGTCAGATAATCACCCTATCGGATATCCAAAAGAAATATGACATTCGATATTCGATAAATTTACGATGCATCCCTAATTTCTATTTTTTATCAGCAATTATTTTGTCGGAATAAGCAAACGTTTTAACTCTTAGGCCTGTTCTACAATAGGGTCACAATCATAAACTGTAAAAAATTGGCCAATCACGGTTGAATATGAAAAAAAATAGATTATGATTAGGTAATTTCTTACGGCTCTTGTAGAACCCTATTGTAGAACAAGCTTTACACGCCATATTATAATAATATAAGGAACGACACATTAGGTTATGGCATATCCAACCCAGTTCGATTGCTTATATAACTTTTATAAAACATGATGATAAAACATATTGTAAAACAAATTTTTTTTGATAAAACAAATATTAAGAAACCTAATGATATCAAGTAAATGTATTATCTTTATTAATATAAAAAAGAATATTACACACTAATACGCGTGCGCGCCAATTAGCTCGGGCAGTGCCGCTTAATGATCACTTTCTGAAACTCCGGGAGTATCAACAAAATTCAAAAATGAATAATATTCCGAGTGCATTTTATAATTTATTTTTAAGAAATCGAGCAAATCGATTGTATTGTTTTCGAATGTTTCAATAGTGAATGAAATCCTGATAAATCCTACAATTTTACTAATTTCCTGAATGTTCATGAAAATAAAAGAGAAGAAAAAAGTAAATTGTTTGATTAAATAGAATTTAAAATAAATAATATTGAAACAAATATCACATGAAAGGTATATGTCAAAATATATCTTAATAAAAATTTATTATTTAATACTTTATTGTCATGCTTGTGTCATGCTTATAATTAATATCAAGTTTTTTAAATACTGTGTTTCAATTGTATAAGGATTATTTTTCAAAATTTTTATGAAATATATTTATCTTTTTTTATCTTATCTTTATTGTGGTAAAAATTTTAATTTGGTTTTCTGCTTTGTACACTCGGAGTTTCTTTTAAAACTGTTCTTAATATGTGACGATAATTATTTTATCATCTATTTTTTTTAAAGAAATATGCAAATTTTTAAATATTATATACCTACATTTAAAACGAAAAAAATCTATAAGTTAAAAAACGATATTTGTAGTTGTACGCATACGTGCGCGCGCATTTATTCTCATACTTGATCCCATAAAATAAAGAAACAAACGAGAGATGGCACTAATGTTTCGCACGTCATAGAGTGGGTATAAAAACAGTGACGCCAATTAGCCGGAAGTGTCGCCATTTGGTGTCCTACATCTGGAGTATCTATATGACACAATTCCTCCATCTTAATCTCTTCTTTCTTTAATGTTAACTTCTTTCTAACGAACAATAAGGACACTTAATGGCGGAGCCAATTAGTATTAGGCACATGCATTGGCCATTCTCTTTATACCCACTCTAGCATATCAGATAGGCCTATTCATAGTCAGATCTTATATTTAAGACCATCTTATGTACAGTCTTAAGATGTCATGAATCAATCAGAGAGCCGTATTAGCATCTTAAGACATTATTTATACTTTAGATGGTCTTAAAATAAAAACAGACTACCTAATATAAAATTTGGCGCAAAAATGGTTGTACATGTGTGAATCTGATGTGAATAT